AAATTGGCTGTCTAATAAAAAATAAATATTTTTTTTAAATATTTTTTTCGTCAGCAGAGCTTTCACTGTACTTTACTATATGAGCGCAACTGAAAGTAAACATTAACTTGAACCGTCTCTAGCAATTTACATTTATATAATTGGCCTTTCTGCACTTCCGAAAAACCATGCGTAGATTTCCTTATGGTCCGGTACTAAAAAAAAAAGAGAGTTTATTGCCGGCTACTGCTGCGAGAAAAACTTTTGCCATTACACCATAAGTAAAGTCTGCGACAAACAAACAAAAATAATAAAACATACAATTTTTCGACCGAGCGACCAACTGATCATTGCGTCAAAAGCTTTAGCTGCGATAATTAAACCTCGACCATATTTAAAAACAATTCAAGTTCAGTTCAAAATCGTAAACAAGAAATCGCAACAGCAGCAGCAATAACAATAACAACATCATCAACAACAACAACAATATTCAATCATCGCAAATACGATACATGCTACGTTGTCTGATTGGCATAACGTAATGACTATGCGCCGTTGACCTTCGACAAAGGCTGTTTGACATGAATTTAAATCACATAACCGAATACGAGTTAACTCCAAATCAATGGCTCCATTGGCGCGCGTCTACTTTGTTAGTCAAACACACAACCTTCAATCATAGTTAAAAGTGAGTGTTCGGCCAATATAGCAGAATTATATACGAAATTCTGATAAGCGCGCAGAATTACTTATTATTACTCGTATATTGTTTTTGCTGCTTTCGGCTGCTGCGGCTGCTGCTACGTGACGCAAATGACGCAGTTACGTATACGATTTTAGACAGCATTCGTACAATTGATGTATTTATATGTTCGCGAGAAATGCATTTTTAGCTTACCTTTTGTCCAAATTTTATATTTTGGAGCCAGCAATATTATACGCCGTACCATACTCATTATAAAGCGCTGCTGTTGCTGTTATTACGGAAATCTCAGCTGGCGGGTCGGCTTGCACACACACACACACATACACACAACGCTCTCTTCTTCTTCTTTCTTCTACTGTTCGGGGGCTGCGGGTACTGCTGTTGTTGCCAGTCTGTTCTGGACTATTTTGACAAGCAAATATTGCTAGTCATTCGTATTGGTTTTGCACAATAATCTGAATTGGTTGTTGTTTTCACTCTTAAAAGACGACAATTTTCTTTAGCGTTTCTTATTTCTCGTTCCTTGTAGCCTGTTGTACGACGCAATTGTTAATTTTTCGCTGCTGCTCTGCTGGTACTTTTGTGTGTGGAAAATGTGAATAAAATAGATTGCGCTCTGCGCTTGCCTCTACACACTTCTTTGGCGGTGTGTGAGTCTGCATATATGTGTAAGTGTGTGTGTGTGACTGTGTGCGAGTATATGTGATTGTCGGTGTGCACGTTTGTGCTTGTGTGTTTCGGTTTTTCTGATTTCTTTTCACACGTTGTTTCGTGCTCGTTGGCCAGAGTATGTGCTTCTTCTTTTTGTTGTTCGTATTTTGGTATTCACTAGCAGATGTCTTTTTGAAACCGTTTTTGTTGCAGATCCATGACAGTTTTTAATATATCTTATTAAATAAAAACGGCCCGTATTTACTGTCCTGGCTGTAATGGGAATTACGCGATGTTGCTGTTGCTCATACTAAATCGAATTTAAATGATGGGCTCACAAAATACAACAATGTGAGACAGCTGTTATTTGGACTACAGCTGTTTGGTATGGGCTCTTCTTCTTGTCTGTGCCGCGCACCGTGGTACATACAATGACATAAACCGATCAAAATGTTAATCTAAAATCATACACAAAAGAATTTGGACTGTTTTACGGCCAGAAATATAGAAAAAATTTATATATATGAATTTAAAAAGAACTTGAATTTCGTTTTGTCAAAAAACTTTTATTTGACTTGTAATTCTAATTTCTAATTTTTGCCAAACAGTTTCTAGTAGCCAGGTATAATTCGGCCCTTTTTGCTAGCCTTCTTCAATTTCTTGTTCTTCTTGTCCTTGCTGCGCTTATCCAGATTCTCCTGTCGTTTCTTCTGGCGCTTCGCTATATCATGATCCACCTTTTGCTTGCGCTCCTCCCACTTCTTCTTTGCAGCCCGCTTCTCCACCTTTTTCTTCTTTATGGCCTTCTGGAGGAGCTTTGTGTCATCTTTAACTTTCTTGCCCTCAATCTTATCAAATGCCTTCTTCCAAGCAATACTATTTTGCAGTTCAGCTGCCTTATCGCTTTGTCCTTGTTCCTTCAGCTCATTTATTTGTTGGCTCGTTTGTTTCAACTCTTTAAGTATTTCCTTTGGATTTTTATGCGATTTCTTGGTCTTGGCTCCTGGAGTAGCAGCAAAATCTATTTTGGAATAAACTATTTTCGACTCCTCGTTAAATACAGGTTTCTGCTGAACGGGCCGAATTTTCGACTTGCTATCTGTCTCTTCCTCTCCATCTTTATTTGATACTGTTTTGATAACTCCATTTTTCAGTTTATTTTGTTTTATATTCTCGTTTTTCATTATTTTTGCAGAGGATTGGAGCAGCTTTTGTACCCCCTTACTCCGCTTGAGTTTCTTTGCTTCGCGCCTCTTCTGTTGCCGTTCAGTGGTCGGTCGCTTTTTCTGGCGCATTTTGTTCTTAATGGATGCAATGCGTTCATCCACATCCTCCTCCTCCTTCATCTCATGTTCTTTTCCGGCGGCGTGGTTGTTTCTACGCTTAGCTTTAGTTGAATGTTTCAACTTTGCACCTTTTGTCTTTGGCGTATTTTCATCATCAGAAAGCAGATACTCCTCAAATGTTTCTTTTTCTACAATGTCGATGTATGAATGTAATGTTTAATAATGCTTGCTTTATATTTACCATTTTTTTTAGAATAAGGCACATTGTGCATTATCAACAGGCGATATACCTGTTTCTCAAACCGTTTTCTTTTTGTGTAATCGTCTTCTTCCCTGCAATCTTTTATGCCATGTTCTTTGTTATATTTTTCCCGAATGCTTTCCACAGCGTATTCAGCGTCAAAATATTCCATTGGAAATTTGAGTAAAATTCAATGTTGTCAAAAAAAAAATTAACTTTGACTTCACACGTGCAACTGAGGCTCATTAGAGAGAACATTTGCCAAGTTGTGATAGTTGGCTACTCGATTAGTTAATCGAATATTATATTGAATTGATTTTTAAATACACTTTTTTTAATAGAGTTATGTTAGAAAAATATTTTTTATTTATTAATTAATATTATATTCGTTGTATCCAAATTTTTTTAGTTGTGCGATAATATTCAATGCCTATCGATAGTTTCAGTCGCTTTGCTTGCAACTTCTCCTATCTGAGTGACAGCCATCGATAGTTGATCGATATTCACATACCTTGACTTTACATCATTTTTCAGTAATTCGTCGGCCGAGAATGACTAATTTTTGCCAGTGTTTAAAAATATTTGTAAATGCCGAGCTAATTTAATACAGTAAAATAAACCACAACAAAGTGCATTTTGTTTTTGTTAGACGTACAACGGCGGTCAGAAGTGTGTGTGCAGAGCGGCAACAATATGAAGAAACAATTTGCAAAAATTAAAATTGCTGCTGAAAACTTAAGGTAAGTGCAAAGGCCAGGGGGCGCAGGCAGCCGCCATCCAGTGCCAGCGGCGGCAGCCGTGAAGACGCGACGAAATGCCAGACAAAAGCGCAAGCAGTCAGTGGCGGGCGCAGGTGTTGCCTCATAACAACAACAAAAACAACAATAACAACAACCAACATAAGAAAAACAAATCAATGCCAAAATAAAGCACAGCGCTTACGTTTTTTATATGCATGTTTCTTACGTCGCTGATGACCTAACGGCATTCGTGTGTAATGGCATTTACATATATTTATATCGATGCCTCAGTGTCTGTATTTGATTTCGCTTTGTTTTGTTTTGCTTTGTTTCTTCACACAGATCTACAAAATCTGACTGCAAAGATTTTGAGCTAGAGACCATTGAGAAGCAAGTAGACCGATATCGCGATACCATTGAGAAAATTGTGCGCAAATTACCAGCGCTCAGCAACAGCAGTGGCGGTAGCAGCAGCAGCAGTAATGGCACCGTTACCATTGAGGAACATGACAAGCGCATCAAGAAGAACACGCACTACAAGATTGCCCAAGCGCTGGATGAGTCGGCCAAGGAGTTACCTAAGGATATGCCATTGCACAAGGTTCTAGCGAATTGTGGTGAGTAGCTAAGTCCAACGGTGTGTGTGTGATCATGTGTGTGTTGGGTGTTTTTATCGGCGTCTCGCTGGCTGTGATAAGGGCGCCACTTAGAAAAAATTCTAAATTGAAAAACCATTAAAAATGAAACCGCATAAAAAGCGCAAGGTGTGCACAGTTATGTATGTGCTTGCGTGTGTATGTGTATACACATATAGGCGCATAAATTTCTATGCATATGCTTTGATGACTGTGTGTCACGGGCTTGCGTGCGCTCTGCAAGTGTGTGTGTGTGTGTGTGTGTGTGTGTGTGGCCTCGCCTTGTCTGCGCTTGGCCTTGTGGCATTTACATTTCTCAACTCGGGGTTGTCGATTATTATACCCTATTCCTATTGATAATGTATAAAAGGGTATATTGCTATTGTATAAATAATTAAGATTGTTAGTGGGTTATATGTTTGTTCTTGAACTTTCTCTAAGACTGTACACGGACCTCGTTTGCGATAAATATCGATTATCAGCATATATAAGTCAGGAAGTTATTGACAGCGTATTTCATTTATCATAGTATAAGATTATATACTAGACTATGTGCGTATACCCGATACAGGGTATATTCTAGTCTTGCTATGGCTAATCTCTCTAAATCACTATTTACTTGCTGTTGTTGTCGCTGCTGCTTAGCGCGTTTTTTAATCATTATAATAATTTTATGATGATTTTTTTTTCGTTGCTTTCTTTTACACAGTCATTCGCTGGATTGGCTGCTCTCTGCTGCGGTTTGCCGCTCTTATTTTTATTTGCTTATCTATTTATACAGTTTTTGTTTTTTKTTTTTTTTTTTTTTTTTCTTTGTTTTGATTGTTATTGTGTTTACGTATTTAGCCCCCGCCTTTACCTCCGCCAGGCAATACCAGCCTTTTCATGCCCTGTTTTATGGCTCGCTACTTTCAATCAAAACTCCATTGTGCATTTCTTTAAGTGCTAGACAAAGGTTTAGTAAAAGTGATCTGCAATAATTATGTTATGATTATGATAAGTTGAGTAATGAAGTAAAAGTTGCGCCAAAAGGAAATAAAATATAAAATCCCTCACAAGCTTCCTACATAAGTATGAGCAGACATATGTATATAAATATATAAATATTCAAAATAGCCCCCACACCTTTTTTTCGTTTGTTGCTATTCCCTCTCATTCTCTCTCTCTTTCCCCACCCACTTTTTGTTATATTACTCATTATTGACTCCATTTAGGCTTTTAGCATATGAGACACACACACACACACATGCACGCACAGAGAGGCTCACATAGACATTTATAAGCACACCAGATGCGTGCAGCAATTGCAATTTAGTTGAGCGTTGCGTCAGCGTCGACTGCAGCAGCAACGCATCAGCATTTACAGCTTCAAGTTTACCTTGGTTCAACGTTCATTGATAAGCTCTGTCCACAGCATTATGACATAAAGCGAAACAAAATAAAGCCTTTGTCTGGTCTCCATGCAAAAGTAGGTGAACTATTCATGCATACGACTCTCCCGTGCTCTCATCTATCGCTCCGTACGTGTATTGTATATGATTCGTGTTTGTTCAACTCTATATATTTGAATTTACACAAAGTTCACGTACACAAATGCTAACAAGGAAACATATATGTTAATATTAATAGTATTTGTGTTCAGTTAACGAGTATAGCTAGCCAATCACTTTTTCTTTCCTCCGTTTGGGGTTGTCTCTTCAATTTTGAAGTTATATAAACCTATTTGCATTTAAAGTGAGTCAAAAGATCATATAATTTTTGCAAATTGAAAGTTTAAAAATTGGTCATATATGTGTTTTATATTAAATTACATATGTATTTATATTATGACCGTTAGTCGATTTAAAAATATAAGTCTCAATGCCTTAGCTTTATATTATATTATTTTTATTTAAATAGATCTACGATCAATATATATTAATTTTTTGTATGATTGACAAATTTAAAAATATCCAATTTCCAAAAATAGTTTTTGTTTGTTATTTAACGCAGTTGTTTACTTGGGAGCTATTTTGTATTATTAACTTTACCAATATAACTTAGTTGCAGAATGTTGAATTCCCAAATTAAATTCAAGCGACAGCTTTTATTATTCCGCCACCCCAATGGATTTGCCCCACTGTACCAAGTGTGCCCTTTTGTAATTTATTTCTTAGGCACGACACGCTTTAATTCCACCTTCTCGTCTCATCGCCTTCTCTTAGCCACGACGAGCATATCTTCAATTTTATACTTCACTTGTGTTGTCGCCATTCCCTCTGCAGCGGGCCCCCTATTGTACTGTCGTATTGTGGGCTCCGCTGCCGGCGTCGCACTCAACACAATTATCACAATTTTGCTTACTCAGCTTCGTCAGAGCAGCTATAGTTACGCCCCCGCGCCCGCTTCCACAATGCACGGCCCACAACTTTGAACCGGCAGCTATAATAACAACAACAACACCACCACCACCAGCAGCCGCAGCAGCAGCAGCAGCAGCAACAACAACAACTTTTGCTACCGTCCTTTCGGCTGCGATAAGGTCTTAAATAAGCATTGGCTTCCTCACTTAGACACGCTGAAATACAGACACACACGTACACACACAAACGTTTCCTTTACATCATCAAAATAATGTTTTGTATTTATTTAAACTAAAAAAAAACTCTTTCGCAATTTGCAGCCGAGCTGGAGAAGACAATCGCCGAGTGCATCATCGAGAGCGAACTGGAAACGGAGACGAAAGTTGTGCGGCGTTTAAAAAACATCTTAGATAAAGAAATACAAGAGATCTCAACGCTAAAGCGTAATGTGTCGCGCACACTACAGGAATACACCTCACTGAAGCGCAGCCATGAGGTAAGATATCATTCCGCGACCCCAAATTAAGCATCAGACAGCAGATGAATCGTTGACTCTCTGCATAGGAGGTTGTACACAGTAAGAAATGAATGTTGATTTCAATTCTTAAAAATAAATCGGCTATATCAAAATAAGCTTAGCAAAGTTTTGGGCTGATGAAAAGCATATCTATTTGATAAGTGTAAACAAAAAGTGAAATCAACATTAATTTTACTGAAACTCTTACCAAATATTTTTCTTCACTACATTTCTTTGTACCTTCAAGTTGTAAGTTATTCAGGCGAAAAATTGTATGAAAGGTAAAAATTATAAGCAGCTGTTCAAAAATGATTTGTGATAATAATGTGGCACTTATCCAAATTGTGGAATGCGCGTTGATTATGTTTCAAATGACCACGATTACAGAGAGAGAAAAAGAGAGAGAGAGTCAAAGTGCGACAGTAACAAAGAATAAAATAGCAGCAATAACAATAAGTATTTATACAACTTCTCAATTGTGTGGAGCTCAGACCTTAATGCACAGTGGTCTAATGTCACGCGAGGCCTCCAATTACAGAGGTGCTACTCCTATATACCATAAATTGAAACTATGATTGTTTGGTTTATGGTTGTGGCGCAAATGGAACTCGGTTTGATATTATTTTATTCCAGGAATTTACAGCAACTTCTCATATAGTTACTAATTGCTATTTCTGGGGTTTCTTTCAAGAATATTTTATGAATTTCGTGTTACTTAATTCTCTTGCCATTCAGTTAGCTTATGCTAAATTAGATCTAGATCTAGCATATATAGCTTATCAAACGTAGACTTCCCTTCGTTTATGCAAAGTTCTGCTCCAATTTCTTAATTCGGCTATTTCCTCTCTTCTTTAGCTGATAAATATCTCTCGCACATTTTGCACACTTTTTCAATTGACTTTGAAGCACTGTGCCTTGTGCATGGCCAGCCACGACCGGATGACAAGCGCCGGCCAAGAAAGCAATCAATTCTTTATTCTTTTCTCTCTCTCTCTTTAT